ATCTTATCAATTTACAGCTGTTGCATTCTTTTGGTTTGCCTTTTTTATATGTTGCATTATTTAATTCAAAATTATAAATAAACTTTTCCTTACAAAATTCTTTTTCATTTTCAGAAAGCTCCTTGTTTTTTTGGACCAATGAAAAAAAATAATCTTTTCTACTTTCTTTATTAGAACTAACCACTGGATTATTACGCATTTCGTTATAAATTTTATATACAAATTCCTTTCTTTCTTGTGATAACGATGATAATAGTTTAATATGTGACATTATAAAAAAATTTGACTTTTAGAGAATAATTTTGCGGAGAACGACGTGTAACAAACAATTTCCTCATAATTAACATTCTAAACTTTTGTTATAATGGCTTTTTTTGACAATCAAGTTTATTTAAGTTTTTCTTTGACAGGATTAATTAATAACATGCTGTTAAATTTTCGTCGTGTAACAATCTATACAAATTTGGATGCGTACATTTGTTGATCTAAAAAAAATTTTTTCTAAATATGTCTGATAATGTTTTAGTTCTTGATAATGGTGCTTATAGCATCAAAGTTGGTTATGCTATTGATAATGAAGAGCCAAGGTACTTTTATATAAATTACTTTTTTTCTTCTCTTCTCTTTAAAAAAAATCAAATTTATTTACTTGTTTTTTATTAGTATAATTCCTAATTGTAAAGTAACAAGAGGAAAAGGTGAAAGAAAAACGTATATAGGAGATCAGATCAATAGTTGTTTAGATTATTCTGGTTTATATTATCGATTACCTTTTGAAAGGGTTTGTGTTTTTTATGGTTTTGATCAAAATGAAAAAATCTTTTTTTGATTCATATAATATATTATAATATAGGGGTATCTTGTTGATTGGGAAACTGAAAGAGAAGTATGGGATAGAATATTTGATAATATACTTGAAGTAAGTTAATAATAAGGTTAATGTTGTTGATGATGAATAATTTAATTAACATCAACAACAACAACAACAACAACAACAACAATAATAAATAATTTCCTAATAATTTTTATCAGTGTAATACACCAACTACCAACCTTATCATTACAGAACCATGTTTTAATCTACCAAATATCCAAACAGCCTATGATGAAATGATATTTGAAGTATATGAATTTAAATCTTGTTTTAGGACAATTGG